AACCAAACTTGACCGAAACTGATTTGCTGCCACCAATGCAACACTCAATGTCATAGAGCAATCGGCCGGTTTTTTGTTTTTGTTTTAGAAACTGCAGTTTTTAGTGATATTTTGTTGTTTCGTGCATTGGTAGCCTGTGGAACACGTTAAAATGCAAATAAAAGAAATGAGGTTCGCGGACCCAGGTACCATGTTTCGGTGTTGTTTTATATGCTTCACATGGTGTATAATAGTCTTTATCATCACCACCACCAGCAGCTTAATCTTGTCTCCTGCCTCACTAATGCATTTATTGCCATTACTCGTTCCTTTACCTACAGAATATTTCTCTGTGTCTATTGTACCCCCACATCAAGATATCTTAAACGATTTAAAAGTCACAACCCGGACTATATATTAAAGAAATATATATAGAATAGTATATGCCTTTTTCCATAGCACATCGAGTATCATTCCGAGGGCTGATATTGGCCGAGGGTTGATACTGGGTGTGCTTTGGAAAAAGACCCGTTTTATACTTACTAATACAACAGATCAGGGGGATCTTGGCGCCCACCATTGTACCATCTTAATTAGTTCTATGTCAGTTATATCCTTTCTCTTCATTTCTCTTCTTATCTGTTTGGTCGAGACATGGAAACAGTAAATGCACCTTGAGGTAACTCATACTGCTGTGTATAAAAGACAACATTCAAAGTCAGTTTGTCTTTTCACATATTTACTAGAACAGTATTTAAGTTTAAGAATAAGCAAAAACCAAAGTGCAATATGAGAAAGATCTGTTAAGTTCTTCCTGCAGCCATCTTGTTTTTATGACCACTCTCAAAATAAAACATGCACAACTGAGGACCAAGTAGAACCTTCGTATCAAATATGAGAAAAATCCCTAAAGTAGTTTCTGAGAAATAGCGCTATCAAACTTTAACTTTAAAATTTCAAGATGGCAACTATCAGCCATTTTGATTTTTTTATCAGTCCCTAAATTTGTTATGCATAACTAGGGATCACGGGGAACCTTCTTGTTGAATATGAGAAAGATCCCTCCCAGCTTTTTTTTGTGAAATAGTGCTGACAAACTTTAACTCTCAAATTAAAGATGGCTGGCTGGTGGAATGACGGAGTGACGGAATAACGGACGGAGGGACCACGGACGCAAGGTTATTTAAATAGCCCACCATCTGATGGTGGTGGGCTGGAGATCTATTTTTCTTTTTAAATATTGAGAACGAAAATTTCCAAAAGGGGTGCGATACGGGTTTTGTGGTCTGATACAGGTTTGGGGGTGTTATACGGCGAGGGCTGATATGGGACTAGAGCAATTGTGTCGTATCGCATATACAAACAAGAGGCACATGGGGGCCTGTATCGCTCACCTGGAAATGTAAGCAAAATTGAAGTTGAAATAGCCAGATGTTGCTGGTAGTGTACACATACTACATGTTTAATCAGGGGTTATATTTATATGCAGTAGGGCAAAATCCTGTCATTCATACAGGAAAAGAAGAATTTTGAAGAATTTGCTATCTTTCTCCTATTTGGCCCCGCCCCTCTGCCCCCAGGGGGTCAGACCCACCATTTATACAAAATTAAATCCCCTCCACCCAAGGATGCTTTAAACCAAATATGGACATAATTCTGTCGTTACTACAGAAGAAGGATTTTAAAGCTATTCCTCTATATCCCCTATTGGTCCCCGTCTCTCTGCCCAACGGGGGTCAGAGCCACCGTTTATGCAAAATTAAATCCCCTCCACCCAAGGATGCTTTAAACCAAATATGGACATAATTCTGTCGTTACTACAGAAGAAGGATTTTAAAGCTATTCCTCTATATCCCCTATTGGTCCCCGTCTCTCTGCCCAACGGGGGTCAGAGGCACCATTTATGCAAAATTGATTCTCCTTCCCCATAGGATGCAACTGTTCAAATATGGTCAAAATACCTTTATCCCAACGATAGAACAAGGATATTAAAGATATTTCTCTTTATCCCTTATTGGGCCCTGCCTCTCTGTCCCCAGGGTAGTCAGACCCACCGTTTATACAAAATGTGTTCCCCTTCACCCTAGGATGCTTCATACCAAATTTGGACAAAGTCCTGTTGTTCCTACAGGAGTAGAAGGATTTTGAAGAATTTGCTATGTTTCCCCTATTGGGCCCCGCCCATCTGCCCCCAGGGGCTCTAAACTCAGTGTTTATACAAAATTAAGTCCCCTTGGCCCAAGGATTCTCCAGACTAAATTAGGATAAAATCCCTTAATCCCTACGGTAGAAGAAGGATTTTGAAGGTTTAAGCTCTATTTCCCCTATTGGGCCCCGCCTCTCTGATCCCAAGGGGCCACACCCACCATTTATACAAAATTGAGTCCCCTTGGCCAAAGGATGCTCCAGATTAAATTAGGATTAAATACCTTAATCCATGCGGTAGAAGAAGGATTTTAAAGGTTTTAGCTCTATTTCCCCTATTGGACCCCGTCCCTCTGACCCCAGGTAGGCGACACACACCGTTTATACAAAATTGGGCCCCCTTGGCTTAAGGATGCTCCAGACTAAATTTAGTCAAAATCTACTGTGCTGTTCAGGACTAGTTTTAGCGTTTTAAAGGAAAAGTTGACTGACGGACAGACGACGGACGCTGCGGTATGGCATAAGCTAACCATGGTCCTTTGGACCAGGTGAGCTAAAAACTCGTATTTATCAGTAAGTATGTAATAAATGCACTTATTGATCTTTGACTTTTCATTTCATCAAGATATATTTAACGGTTAAATTTAAAAAGTATGGCCCTGACAAGAGATTACGATAAGAACCAATACTAACACAATATTTCTACCTGGGGAAACACACCCCTGTCCCACCCTAAATTTCTCTACCCCAGACTAAATTTTGTGATTTTCATATTTAGGACATCAAACTCATATAATCTAAATCAGATTTGGTTTAAAAGAAATAATAGAAAAAAATGATAAAACCCTTCATTTAAAGCGCCCCTGCCCCAGAATATATTTTTTTAACCCAGACTATTTTTTTCTGATTTTCATATTCAGGACTTCAAGTGATGTAAAGTGAAGCAGATTTGGTTTAAAAAAGTCAAATAGAAAAGAAAAAAAAGCTAAAACCCTTCATTTCACTTTCATGGTAAAGTGAAACGCCCCAGCCCCACCCTTAATTTCTCTACCCCAGACTTATTTTTTTTGTAATTTTCATATTCAGGACATCAAACTGACGTAAAGTGAAACAGATTTGGTGGAAAAAAGTCAAATAGAAACAAGAGGCCCAGAGGACCTGATAGTATCGCTCACCTGAATATTTAAGCATTCATAGCAAAATATTCTCATTAAATATTATATTGCACTACAAATATTTCCCTCGCAAACTTTCTCGACTCCATCTGTTGAAACTACCAGCCAATTATGATTATAAGATTCTATGCTTTTTGGTTCTTCTTCAGAAGTTGTTTGACATACTTTTCCATATGATCTTGTAAGTAGCTAGGCCAATGTCTTTTTCCTTCTCAAACTTTGTTAGCTCTATCCCAAAAAGCTACCAGCCAAATCTTGTGAATCCATTCCTTTTGGTTCTTTAGAACAAATTGTTTGAAATGGTGTAGACCTTTGTGACCTTTTTTAAAGTAGGTTGAGGTCATTTTCATTTGCAAACTTTTGTGAGCTCTATCCCAAGAAGCCACCAGGAAAATATTATAATTTTATGCCTTTTGATTAGGTCAAGGTCATTTCCATTCTCAAACTTTGTCAGGCTCGATCCCAGGAAGCCATCAGCCAAATATGAAGATTCCATACCTTTTAGTTCTTCAGGAGAAGTGGTTTGAAGAGTTTGACCGCTGTGACCTTGAAAGCAGATCAAGGTCATGTTAATGAGGAAACTTAATAGCACTCCATCCCAGGTACCTCCTGGCAAAATATTATGACCCTGGACCTTATGGAATTTGAAAAGATTGTTATTTTTTAAACATATTTGACCCCTGTGATCTTGATAGTAGGTCAGTGTCATATAAATGATGAAACTTTATAGCACTCCATCCCAGGTACCTACTTGCAAAATATTATGACCCTGGGCCTTATGGAATTTGAAAAGATTGTTATTTTTTTTAACATATTTGACCCCTGTGACCTTGAAAGTAGGTCAATGTCATTTTAATGATGAAATTTTATAGCACTCCATTTAAGGTACCTACTAGCATAATATTATGACCCTGGGCCATATGGAACATGAGAAGAAGATTGTTAAAGTTTTTAACATATTTGACCCATGTGATATTGAAAGTAGGCCAAGGTCATTTTAATTAGGAAAGTTTATATCACTCCATCCCAGGTACCTACTGGCCAAATATCATACCGTACCCTAGGCCCTCAAGGTCTTCAGAAGAAGTCGCTAAAAGACGGACGCCGCAGTACGGCATAAGCTCACATGGCTCTTCGGGCCAGGTGAGCTAAAAATAATGCCAATAAAATACAAAAAGTGCACATTATATTTAAATCAAATCATGATGATTTTATCAATTAAAACAATCAACACGGAGGTATATATACATACACTATGGGTTTGTCTTGTTACCTGATACACATATAACTTACAGACACTACACAGCTGAGGTAAAACTAGAACTGTATGTATGTTTAAATACCACGGTCTGTAAACATAACCTTTATTGACCTACTCCACAATCTATCATATACAGTTCTCTGTACGCCTATCAGCTACCTCGCACAACAAGGAAGTTATATTTTCTGAATAGTTACACATCTGATCATGAACAGGTAGATCTACAAATGGTGGCCAAGGGGCGTTTTCAGTTTGGACTTGTAAAAACAATGAGGAACTGACATTAACCAGAATTTTCCTTGGTCTGACCCAGAAAACAAGTGATTCATCAAAACAACCAGATGTAATTTAATTCCAGGCTTTGTTTCCAATACACAATATAGACAATGACAATATGTACCTGTTTCCTTGATGTTTACATTCTGGTGCTTGGAAGCATGATTTAGTGTCTTTACAATTATGTTTTATGAACACATGTACCTGGATTGGAGCTCGGAGTAAAGTCAAGATTTAGAGACATAAAATGAAGTCGATTTAATGTGATTACTATTCAATTAGCAGTAATAATAGACAAGTTGTTTGGGTCTTTTTATAGACTTCCTTTTCTCTTCCTAAACTTTTTCATCAACATGGCAACACCCATAGGACAAATCCCTCTCCGTACCTGTACTGAACACAAGGGGAGACATCTGGAACTTTATTGTGAAAAATGTGATACACTTGTATGTCTTAAGTGTTTGTCAACATCTCACAAAGGTCATGATGTTTGTGAACTCAGCGAGATTACTCCTACAAAGAAACAAGACATTCAAAACTTTATTGACAGAACTGAACAAAATGACCTGGTACAACTTAGGGAATACATCACATGTACTGATACACTTCTTAAAGAAAATACCAGCAATTTTGAGAAAATTTCACACAAGTTGAAAATGCAAACAGAAAAATTAAAACAAGACCTCGACTTGCTTACAGCACAGACACTCTGTGTTTATCATAAAATGGAGGAGGATAATATCAAGCTGATACAGAAATACAAACAGGACCTTAAAATGTACGACAAGCAACTCCGACAACAAATTCAAGAATGCAAAGAAGCACTCCAGCATGGTTCTCACATAGAAATCTACGACACAGGATGTGAAATGCATTCCCAAATAAGTTTCCCTGTAAAACCTGTCCTGGGTAATGCCAGTTTCACTCCAAACATAAACCCTCAACATCACCTAGAACTGGCCTTAGGGAAAGTTACTACATTAGATCAAGGTCAAGCTTCAATTGACCAGGACGGGTCAGTCAGGACATCTGGTGGTCAGGAACCATCCTCTACATCACAACAGACAGAACCACAGACCAAAGTATTGGAGGAGTGGGAGTCTCCTGTTGATATTTTTTCTATATGCCCCACCATTGATGGTCAGGTGTGGATCAGTTACTGGAACAGTAACACATTAACTCTCCTGGACAGGAAGGGGAAAGTAATAGAGGAGGTCAAACACAAAGCTGGCATCAATGACATAAGTCTGGCACCAACAACACACACACTGTGGGTCTGTGACACAGAAAACAACATCATGGAGCTGGTATCAGGACAACTAAAACACCGATTCAGCACCAAGGAGGAACCTGAGTGTATCTGTGTTACTGCCAGTAACCATGTCATTGTGGGGATGACCAAACACATCTCCAAATTTACCACACATGGTCGAATGGTACTCACTACAAGTGCTACAGGGACTGGGAAGCCATTAGTGTGTTCACCATGGAGGATCTCAGAGTGCCCTGTCACTCACAATGTGGCAGTGGTTGATAAGAATAGTAAGGGTGCAGATGATGGTGATGGGAAAGAACATGTTATTGTTATGGACACTGATTTCAAGAAACTGTTCGTATATAGAGGTGACATCCGCAGTACATATAAACAATCATCACATAAAAGAGTCACACTATTTATCCCCTGGGGTGTGGTGTTTAACAGTGTGGGGAACATCATCATAGGGGACTGTAGCAACTACAGAGTCCTACTCATCAGTGGACGTGGCGAGTTCCTCAGGATCATACACACAGACACAGACTGGACACATGCTGTAGGTGTAGATAGGGAGGATGTCCTGTGGGCAGTGTTTTGTTACAGGAATGGTAAACTACTACAGTACAGCAGTGTGTGACTCCTGTGACAAAACTAGAAGTTATAGTTACCATGACAACACAGAAGACGATCAAAACTTCCCACAATAAACAACCAGTCAACATTCTACCCTGACTGTACATCATCATAATCACTGGAGAAAATCTATTCAACATTCAAGCGATTTTTTGTTATTATGATAATCAGAGAAAAATCAGTCAACTGTGATTCTAGTGTGATTAAATAATTCATTGTCATCAAAGTCTGTGTGGGGAACAATTTTGTTAAAGTGGAAAATGTAATTAAAAATATTGTTATAGACAATGCAATAACATTTATTTTAATTTTTTGCTGTGGGAGAACAAAGTTGAACTCTTGATAATGTTTGCCAGATGGTGCTTTACATCCTTATTTACACCACATGTAATGGGTGGCCTGTCATTGTGTATCAAATTTTATGTATACTACATTGTAGAAGTACTATTTTTGTAATCATAATTTTGTAAAAAAAAAAATGAATACATGGTACATTTCACTGTAATACCATTTTGTTATAATGTATAGACTTTAATTGTAATAACTTTTTTTAAATATGACGAACTTTTTTTGTTTACTATTTCATCGGTTATTTTGCTTGGATGATGTTTTTGTTAATTTACGTGACATACAGTCAAACTTCCTTAAATCAAACTTCAAAGTCAATTCTAAACTTACAGTAAAGTCGCGATTTAATTTAACACTACTAATATTCTGTTAATGGATCAAACATGTTAGAGTCAAACCTTTGCTGTCTTAAAATACGATCAAGTTCCGTTTATTATAAAAACATTGAAAAATTCAACTGAAAAATATACACTTTACCCCCTTTCCAAGGGGGAATGGGTAACCCTGGGGTAGAGAAATTAAAAATTGATATAAAGCACCTTAAGACCCTTCCACCATGAAGAGAATTTGATCTCGGCATATATGGGTCTGAAGAGGAAGATTATTGCAATTTTAGCCAATTTACCCCCTTTGGCCCCATCTTTGCAGGATTAGATCCATATAATTCATGACTACAAAATGTTAATGAAATCAGTTTGATGGTTCTAGAGGAGAAGTAAAAAATGTTTTGATGTATAAAACTTAAGGTATACGTATATGTTACATTGTAGTGTCACCTGATATTGACATATTTGTATGTATAAAAGACTTAAAGTCCCTTAACCTGTATTGTCAGTGATTAACTGTTGATTGTATTGCCTTGTGTACAGCCCTATAATAAAGTTTGATGTGTGTGTAATAAAAATCATTTATATCTTAACTATCCTCTTTGTTATTTGTTATATGTGTTAGATGAGACAACATATTCCTAAATCCACATTGGTCGGATCCTAATCATGTGGAGGTCGGTGATTTGTGATATTGACTCTGAAGTATGATTATCAGAAACAGCAGGTCAATATTCTTTTTATGTTGTCACTTCCAATGGTAATGCCACAATGCTCTCTGCAATATGCAGTACTTTTCTCTTAACAATTTTATTATTTTCCATCTTGTTTAAAAAAAGCTCATAATATCTAATAATACAAAAAAAAGGACTTTTATTTCAGTGAATATGTGGTTTTACTAACCTAAAAAGTTACCTTGACCTTGATTTTCATCTCTGTAAATATATCCTTTTCAGGTCCATACAACCAAATATTCACCTCAACAAAAGTCCATCATTGATATAGTTGTAAGTTGATTTAATCTAAACTATCATCTTTATGATTTGTTATACAGTGAAGCCTGATTTTATTGATATATTTTCTACATGACATTAAGTAATGACCAAAACAAGAGTCATATAATTGTGTCAGGTTTAACAGGATGACCTTATTGTCAGCTGTCAGGTATAACAGGGTGTCATTATTGTCAGGTGCAGTTAAGTCAGGTAATACAGGATGTCCTTATTGGCAGGTGTCAGGTAATACAGGATGTCCTTATTGGCAGGTGTCAGGTAATACAGGATGTCCTTATTGGCAGGTGTTAGTAAAGTCAGGTATTATAGGATGTCATTATTGTCATGTGTTAGTAAAGTAAGGTATAACATGATGTCATTATTGTCAGGTGTCAGTAAAGTCAGGTATTACAGGATGTCCTTATTGTCATGTGTCAGTAAAGTCAGGTATTACAGGATGTCATTATTGTCAGGTGTCAGTAAAGTCAGGTATAACAGGATGTCATTATTGTCATGTGTCAGTCAAGTCAGGTATTACAGGATGTCATTATTGTCATGTGTCAGTAAAGTCAGGTATTACAGGATGTCATTATTGTCATGTGTCAGTAAAGTCAGGTATAACATGATGTCATTATTGTCAGTAAAGTCACGCATTAGTAAAATCAGGTATTACAGGATGTTGTTTTTGGCAGGTGTCAGTAAAGTCAGGTTTTTACAGCATTATTGTTACTGTCAGGTGTCAGTAAAGTCAGGTATAAAAGAATGATCTTATTGTCAGGTGTCGGTAAAGTCAGGTATAACAGGATGTCCTTATTTTCAGGTGTCAGTAAAGTCAGATATTACAGGATGTCCTTATTGTCAGGTGTCGGTAAAGTCAGAATTGACAAGATGTCCTTATTGTCAGGCGTCAGTAAAGTCAGGTATAACAGGATGTCCTTATTTTCAGGTGTCAGTAAAGTCAGATATTACAGGATGTCCTTATTGTCAGGTGTCGGTAAAGTCAGAATTGACAAGATGTCCTTATTGTCAGGCATCAGTAAAGTCAGGTATAACAGGATGTTGTTATTGTCAGGTGTCGGTTAAGTCAGGTACAACAGGGTGTTGTTATTGTCAGGTGTCAGTAAAGTCAGGTTTTACAGTATATTACATTATGTCCTTAAAGTCAAGTGTCAGCAAAGTCAGGTTTTACTGTATATACTGTATAACACAAAATGTTTGTGTCCTTTCTTTCGTGGTTTAGAGCTATCAGATCATTTCATGGGTACAAACTTTCGTAGTTAGCCTTCGCGACGAAATGTATTAATTTTCGGTGTTAGCAAGGTACAATGAAATATATAAATGTAAGAGAATTTTACACCTACAAGGTATATAAGCCACACCCTTATTATAGCCCCTGGAAGAGCACCAGGATAAAATAGCATCAAACTCTCATCTCCTAGAGTTTCAATTCCAATCAAAGGTAGAGCTCAAACTAAGCCCATTGGGTATTAAATTTCACAATATTGATACAGCACCTTTTAAGATCCTTTCCTCTAAGAAGAGTATTTCTTTCAAAATATCCAAGTCTTATAAGAAGACTAGAAATTTCAGCCTATATAATTTATTTTATCCCTGTTGACCCTGCTCCTCGCCCCCTGGGGTAGGCTAGGGTCTCAATGTTCAGAGTATCAAACTGTCAATAGTATTATAATTGCAGTTGAAAATCAATAAAATGAACCCAAAAGTATTGTTTTACTATATAAACTATAGTAATTAATTTCACCCCCTCCCATGGAGGACCAGGAAGCCTAGGGTAACGTAATTCATTCTTTTGATAAACCACCTGAAGACCCTTTCATCTATGAAGAGTATGTATTTCTACCCTATCTTGGAATTGAGAAGAAGACTTTTTGAAATTTCAGTCAATTTGACCAAAAAAATCGCCTATCAGCCTCTGGGGGTCAGTCAGGGCTGATTTGTGCATATCATCAAACTGCTATCCAATGCTGATAATGCTAAGTAAGTTTGAGTTAATTCCAATGGAAATTAAACAAATGTTGGTCCAAAATGTGATTTCCCTATATAAACTATAGTAAAGTTTATCCCCTCTCCAGAACCCAGGGTCATGAAATTCACAAATTTGGTAAAGCACCTTAAGACCCTTCCATCTATGAAGAGTATTTGATTCTGCCATATCTGGATCTTGAGAAGAAGATTTTTGAAATTTCAGTCAGTTTTACTTTTTTTTGGCACCACCCCTTAGGCCCCTGGGGGCTGGGGACCATATAATTCACAAATTTGCTTGACCTTTGGCCATGGAAGGTTTCTGCAAAATTTCATTAAAATTGGTTCAGGGGTTTTGGAGAAGTTGAAAATGTGAATTGTTTACGGACGCACGATGGATGACGCACGCTACACGACGACGGACACAAGGCGATCACAATAGTTCACCTGAGAAATCTCAGGTGACCTTAAAATGCTAAAATCCTTCATTTCACCATTATGGTAAAGTAAAGAGCCCCTGCCCCAGCCTTAATTTCTCTACCCCTGACTTATTTTTTTTGTGATTTTCATATTCAGGACATCAAACTGATGTAAACTAAGAGATTTGGTTGAAAAATGTCAAATAGAAAAACAAATGCTAAAACTCTCATTTCACCATTATGGTCAAGTGAAGCGCCCCTGCCCCACCCTATTTTTTTCTACCCCAAACCTAATTTTTGTCATTTTCAGATAGAATACAAAAAAAAAATGAACTTAAAACAAGAGGCCCAAGGGCCTTAGCGGTCACTCGAGTTATATCATAGGTACCAGTAGCTTTATTTTATTGTTTAGATGTGATGTGAAAATCAGCATGTAAACTAAGTGAAATACAATACTAGTCATGTCATCAAAGCGAAGTCTAGCCTCAATGCATAGCATGTCATGAACCATTTACAGTGAAACACTTGTTACTTGATAGCATTGACCATCAGCCAACTGTTGGTCTGTTCAATAAAGATATAACAAACCATAGTTACTTATCTTTTTACCCTTTTATTTGTTTTTGATCTCATTTCCCTTTAACATGTTTTATTTACTTTTTATTTGCCCTAATGACCATTTTATGTTGATGGGTCGTTAATCCAATAACAAACTCATAGACTTGTATGTTGTCGACCATGGTCCACAATTGTTTCTCCCAACCTTCACAGGTGTCTCCCTTTTAAGCCTGAAAAGATCAGCTTGTCCCCCCATTGGGGGAAATAGACTCATGCATAAAAATAGTATGACGTCACACCATCAATACATTGACGTCACGTCACCAGTTCAGCAGACCATGGAAAACAACTCTAGATAACAAGAGGCCCAATGGGCCTGCATCGCTCACCTGTTATTAATCTAACACTTGTAATCTTAAGATTTCATAAGAACCTATTAAAAGATTTAAACATATGACGACTCTGACCTTGATTGTCGAACAAGGACATTATGTTGAAAGTGGATCAAGGTCATTCATTAAAACTAACATGGTAGTCCTTTATCCCAGCATGCTACAGGCCCAATTTCAGTACCCTGGCCATTTTGCTTATTGAAAAGAAGTCGCTTGAAGTTTTTACGACATTTGACCCCTGTGACCTTGAAAGTTGGTCAAGGTCATTCATTTTAACAAACTTGGTAGCCCTTTATCCCAGCAAGCTACAGGACCAATATCAGTACCCTGGGCCTTTTGGTTATTGAGAAGAAATTGTTTGAAGATTTTAAAGACATCTGACCCGAGTGACCTTGAAAGTGGGTCAATGCCATTCATTTAAACAAACTTGGTAGCCCTTCATCCCAGCATGCTACAGGCGTAATATCAGTACCCTGGGCATTTTGGTTATTGAGAAGAAGTCGCTTGAAGTTTTTACGACATTTGACCCCTGTGACCTTGAAAGTTGGTCAAGGTCATTCATTTTAACAAACTTGGTAGCCCTTTATCCCAGAAAGCTACAGGCCCAATATCAGTACCCTGGGCCTTTTGGTTATTGAGAAGAAGTCGCTTGAAGTTTTTACGACATTTGACCCCTGTGACTTTGAAAATTGGTCAAGGTCATTCATTTTCACAACTTGGTAGCCCTTCATCCCAGCATGCTACAGGCCCAATTTCAGTACCCTGGCCCTTTTGCTTATTGAGAAGAAGTCGCTTGAAGTTTTTACGACATTTGACCCCTGTGACTTTGAAAATTGGTCAAAGTCATTCATTTTCACAAACTTGGTAGCCCTTCATCCCAGCATGCTACAGGCTTAATATCAGTACCCTGGGCATTTTGGTTATTGAAAAGAAGTCGCTTGAAGTTTTTACGACATTTGACCCCTGTGACTTTGAAAATTGGTCAAGGTCATTCATTTTCACAACTTGGTAGCCCTTCATCCCAGCATGCTACAGGCTTAATATCAGTACCCTGGGCATTTTGGTTATTGAGAAGAAGTTGTTTGAAGATTTTAAGACATCTGACCCCAGTAACCTTGAAAGTGGGTCAATGTCATTCATTTAAACAAAATTGGTAGCCCTTTATCCCAGCATGCTACAGGCCCAATATCAGTACCCTGGCCCTTTTGCTTATTGAGAAGAAATTGTTTGAAGATTTTAAGACATCTGACCCCAGTGACCTTGAAAGTGGGTCAAGGTCATTCATTTGAACAAACTTGGTAGCCCTTCATCCCAGCATGCTACAGGCCCCATATCAGTACCCTGGCCCTTTTGCTTATTGAAAAGAAGTTGTTTGAAGATTTTAAGACATCTGACACCAGTGACCTATAAAGTGGGTCAAGGTCATTCATTTGAACAAACTTGGTGGCACTTCATCCCAGCATGCTACAGGCCCAATATCAGTACCCTGGGCCTTTTGGTTATTGAGAAGAAGTTGTTTGAAGATTTTACGATATTTGACCCCTGTGACCTTGAAAGCGGGTCAAGGTCATTTATTTGAACAAACTTGGTAGCCCTTCATCCAGCATGCTACTGGCCAAATATCATCTTCCTAGGCCTTTTGGTTACTGAAAAGAAGTTGTTTAAAATATTGAAGCCGGACGGACGCCGGACGGACGGACGCCACACCATAACATAAGCTCACTTGCCCTTCGGGCAGGTGAGCTAAAAACATGCAATCAACGCTTATATTTCATGCAATCAACGCTTGTCGACGGATTTGTGATTATAACAGGATGGTAGAAAAACAATCATCTCCTACCTTGAGGGTGTGACAGAGAAATCTCCAACCCTTAGGATGATACTATTGAATGTCCTACCCTCGTCAAAGCCTCTGGTAAGACATCAAGAATATCATCCCTGGGGTAATAGATTTCTCTGTCACACCCTCATGGTAGGGGAAGATTCTATTAATCCTGGTCCATCTATCCCTTCCTCCTCCTTCTCCTCCAGATGAGCAATTTGATGCAAAGTCTTTGCCATATTTACTGCAGAGTTTTAATTGAAATACATACATGACAAACATATTTTAACAAAATCATTTTCTTATGCATACATGACAAAATATTAGGTCATACACATGGAGCAACAGCACAATGCTGCCACAGGTGATATTTACAATAACAGTACACTTGATACATGGTAAGAAACAAGTTTGTCCCAGACCAACTTACTTCCAAAGATCATGAAAGAATTTTGACTTAAAATAATGTTTCCTTTTATAGTGAACAATATCATGTTGGATTTTACTTGATGTAATATTGACAAATCAAATATGTACATTATTCCAAGACTTTCATGATCTTAAGGCCAGGCTTGCTTTCTTTATCCATTACAAAAGGATATACCAGTTCTGTCTGACTTCTTCATTGATCAATAATGAGACATACCTAGCAGTCTGATGTTGTTTTCTGGTATGCCTTGACAAAGATTTTTAACACAATAATTTACGGCATGCATTAACATTTACAGGTCTATTAAGTGGTATCCCTGAAAATGTTACAATTATAGGAACTCATTCACCCCTGAACTTTCATAATGAACTATTCCAACCTCTGCATTGGAAGAGTTCAAATGTGTCTTCATGGGTGAATGAGTTAAATAAACAAACCAGACATTCCAAATAAATCCCCATCAGATGACAGATCACCTGACAAAGGACAGTCACTTTCACACACCATAACTTTACACTTACATGTACGTATGTACATTGTATATTATTTTTACAAATGTTTAATTTTAAAATCCATTTACAGAGCCATTGAAACTAGGACAAATTTAATCCTAGTGAAAATATTTTTGTTATAAAAATGAGATATTCACAAGGAAATACCTTGGATAGGTCTTAGCACTGATGATGCAATGCTTATATTATACAACAAAAAAATATCTATACAATCTCTTATCATACAAAAATGAATATTGCATTATATTCTGTACAATGAAATCATGTTAGTAATAATGGCAAATACATGAGGCATGAAAAAACTGAAAAAGTCGACATGATGATGAAAATAGTGTGAAATGTTTGCAAGACGACTAGATATCAGTTAATCTACCAGGTAAATTAAAATCACTCTCATTGATCTTTGTTATTAAGGTACAACAATGTTCACCTGAGAGTGGGACAGAAAATGACTGCAGAAAAAATAAACAAAATTCCTGACAGCTTTAATTTATTGAGTTGTTCGTCTATGAAATAAGGTCGGACCTAGTAATCTGATGCTGCTTTCGGGCCAGTCTTGACAAAGCCTTACAAGGCCTGCATGAACGTTTGCATGTCCGCCAGGATTTATAGCCAAAAATGTTACATTTAAAAACAGACAAACCAGTTGTTCCACATAAACGAACAGGCCCCTTGGTACCTTTTAAGTTCAGGACAACCAATATCCAATTATATACAAGTTAAAATTCTTTATTTACTTTAAGCCTTACAACTTAATATACAGAATGATTGTTAGATATAGTGTACTGAAAGAAAACAAGATCACTGGGGTAGGCAGCAACAGGGATAACGCTTTTTTCCTGTATTGCTGCAATGGGGGATAACTTGGCTGTTTTTCAGAAAATCTCTTTCACTGCCTACATTTAATCACATCTTTGAAAAAAAATGTTAAATGTTTAAAAAATGAATGAATGAAAAAAATCAGATGCAACCTTAAAGTCTTGAAATAAATAACAACACACCCATAACGAAAATAACATTAAGGATTGATCTACCTTTACGATATGAATTCCAACTTTCAGATGAAATATTGTAAATAATAAAAAAGAATACAACGTTTTTGTTATTCCATTGTAATTCCTTTTTCCTTCCATTACACTAGTCTAATGACATACTGACTACAACAAAGCTCTATTCAATGCCCATGTTTGTTTTTTGAGTAAATATTTTTGTAAAATATACATTGTTTCCCAGTTGTAACAGCAGGCATTTTAGGTCTCTTTGATTTATACTCTGTATATTTGATCCAGCCTATTACAAACTTGTGATTCATTGACTAGGGATTAAGTCGTTAAATAGAACTCTTTATCTTTGATGTTTCACCACATATTATGACATATAACAAATCGTTTTATGTAAATGTAATATTAGATCTGTACTGCAGCATGGGTGTGCTCCTTCAAAATTAAATGTAGAATAGTCTTTGTCACTTTGATTAATAAATTGAACATGACAGAGTATCTCGATGAATCGAAGTCACAGTAGCTGTTCTGAAAGGGGCCGTAGTTGTCAATTTGTTTACGGTGCCTGACTGATTACGATCACTAGCCCTGCCCTCCACCACTGCAGTCGCCAGGTACTAGCCACAGGGCATGTTTTTTCTCTGGGTACTCCACCAACAAAACCTAGTACCACTTTAAATGACCATAGCTGTTCGTAGAACAAGAAAGTCGCACAAACAAACATGCTTGAAATATACATGTAAGTGAGTGAACGTGTAATACTAACACATATATGTGGTAGATACCACGGTAAGTGGAAATTAAAGACCTCATTCCAGGTTGCTGAATTAAAAGTTTATGATAGGCTGGATACCTCTAAACTGAACTTGCCCAGGCTTTGATTTGGTAAGGTTCAAATGTGTCTTCTGGGGTGAATGAGTTTTTTGGCTGATGCCATTAAATGTCAAAATAATAAATTGATCAGATAATAAGCTTCAGTTCCCACAGCTACAGTGGTGTCTGGTTCATCAACATACCACTGACTTGGCTTTCCCTCTATCCAACCTGACATGGTTGAGGATACAGAAATTAATTAGGTTCAATCATTCCCAAATAGTAGAATACTGATAATAGTGTTAAATTGCATTTTTCAGTGTTCATGATGGTATGAATGCAATGCAAGAATTGCAAAAACAATGATGTTTGCTATGTACATTATCTTACTACATATTATAAGATAGCGATCTTAAGTTTTCCCTCATATTTGCAAAATTTGAAATACCCCTTACAACAGTCTAGTACATGTATCATGCTAGGCAGAAGTTCATAGCCTTTTGAATACAATTCTTCTGTTCTTCTGATGATGCCTATATTGGGAATTGCAGGGGGGGGGGGATATGAAACCAATGACAATGATTGTTTTTTTTTCATATTAACCCATAAACCACTAAAACTAAAAGTAATTTTGCCACTCAGTCGCCAAAGCAGTATCTATGGTGACTGATAATTATAAGAAATGGACGGCAGGACTACAAATGATTGGTAGCTATCAGGTATGAAGGACAGAAAACTTGAACAACCAAATCTGTCTATGAATTATCAAAATGATATGAAGCATAATTAATTTGAAGCATTCATTAAAAAAATAAAAATATGAAGTATCCTACATTCACAATTATTGTGAAGTCTGTGTATAGTTATTGGCAGAGGTTCTCTCAAGTAAAGGTCAGTAAGTACAACAGGTAAAGATCATTGGTAACAGAAGGGAAAGGTCAAGGGCAAGGTAAGGTCAGGGGTCACAGTGAGTAGGTGCCTGACTAATGTCACATCTGCGGAAATATTGTTCTCTGAATTTTCCAGAATAACCAAGTTAAGCTACAGCGAAAAGTAAATTCTAAGGTTACCCAATAGTTTCATGTAGACGATAGAAGCTCTACAAACTATGAAGAAATTCTGACTCTACCATAAAACTAGGTGTTGTGGAAAATCATTGGTGAATAAATCAACCTTATCAAATATATTTTGTACAGACAGATAATTTTACGCCAGAAATAAAATTCTAAGATGAATCCTGTGATACAATATATACCTCACAATCTACATGTATATTTTAAGTCTGCAAGAAGAATCAAGATACCAGACAATAATTGTATTGTCATGTTTTAAAGCACGCAGGAAATATATACCAGTATCAAATCTTACCAACTTAAGTATTTCAAATCAATTGTATTTACAAATACATATATATTGAATGAAATTTAAAAAATAAAACAATGAAATTCTGCTGCTTTATCTATGAGTTATACACTAAGGGACATTTTTTCTTTAAATTGAAAATGATTTCCAAAATACTGATGATTTGACAAATGAACACAAAAAAGACATCTGTGGTTACCTGCCCCCTCCACCTCCTCCAAACCCCCGCCCCCCACTCCAGTCTCCACCCCTATTACCTCCCCTATTTCCTCCTCTGTCACCACCCCTCCCTCTGTCACCACCCCTACCTCTGTCACCTCCTCTCCCTCCCCGACCTCGGTTACCTCCCCGACCTGGACTTGAGAAATTACGTCCTCTTTGACCCCATCCTCCTGACTGGTCACCATCCATGTCAGAAGGAACCTGGTTTCCCTGTCGAAAATCACCCGGTCCCTCCTCCCATTGTCTCTTGTTACCAAAGTTCTCCTGCGAACCCCCAAAGTTGTGCCCCCCTTCACTTCTACGACCATGTCGCCGGTCATCTTGCCCCCTTCCCCTACCACGGTTCTGATTAGCACCACCTCCGCCTTGACCCTCAAATCTATCATCTTGGTCCATGAAATTGTCATTACCATGGTTACTGAAGTTACCATGATCACCACCAAAATTAGTGTTCCGGTCATTACCACCTCTCTGGTTTTCCCACTGGTTACCAGAGGAACCTCGTTGTTTACCACCACCCCGCTGAATACCACTTCCTCTGCGGTTAAATGCCTGGCCATCATTAAAGTTTTGGTTGTTATTATCATTCCGCTGTTGCTGTTGGCGGAAATCCTGATCTCCCCTGAAGTCCTGATCACTGCGGAAATCTTGGTCACCTTGAAACTGGTTGTTATTACCCATGTCTTTGTTACCAAAGTTACCCTGGTTTCCACTTTGACCTTGATTCCACTGTCCTCCTCGTAAATCCTGATCCTTTTGCTGGAATCCTTGACCACCTAAAATGAGTTAAAATATTCAATGTACGTTTTTTACTAGAAATAAAATATATTTCAAGTGTAAAAATTATGCTTTTCTGATGCATCAGCTGAAGGGACAATTGCTGTTGCTGGTACTATATTGTTTGCTTTGTTACTGATCGTAAACAAATACTGGATACCAGGAAATTTTCATTGCTGTTTAATTTTCTGGGCAAAATAATCATAACAGTGAACATTAGTTAACAACATAATATACATAGCAATTAAATGTGAGGGCGAAATTTAATCTGGGCGAATATGGATTTTACTGGAGAAGGGCAAAAAGTCGACAGGGCAAAAAATGTCCCGGTATACAGTACCTTGGTATGATACCGATGATTGGTTCTGTTTACTCCTTCTTTATGTTTTCGTGTTTTTAGTGTGGACCACACAAGAATAATTAAAACAGTTTTATTGAAGCAAAGAGCTGGTTTTGTGGATGCCACACTGGTACAATTTTCCAAAGGAAATGAGAAAAATGTTTTATTTACCCTTTTTTAGGTCCATAAAAAACACCTTTCAAATTGAATTTAGGTCCAATTTTCCTAAATTTATCCCGATTTATTCTCAATTTGTTAAAAAAATGTCCTCTTTGATAGTGGAATTTATGATCACATAGGACATTTTTAATAACAAATGATTTGGTTGTATCATGTCTTCCCTTAAAGAGCAATTGATTACATGTACATGTAATAATATAGAAACAATATCAAACAAATATTTCATAGTTGTTACATCATTGGTTTAAAATATGTACATTTAAACATTAAATATTGCATTGCAAAGGATGATTACATGCATGATAATGAGACTGATTTTTCTTTCAAGTTCACAGTACAATGACATAAGGTTGAACGACTACTGACCTTGATTTTGACCTTGCATCCTGGGGGGTCCCATCAAACCCTGAGATCGTCCACCTCCTGAAACAGTCAACACAAATTGAAATATTCCTTGTCCATCTTAGCAAACACATCAATAATAACTAATCAACTGATGGTAAGTGGATTACAGTCCCAATTACTGGTATTGTGGTCGAAGTTTGGACAAGCGTTGTTGTTATTTGACATTAGATCTTTGATGTTGAAATAAAGGGTATTGGCTGGTGAGTTAGGTATGGCACACCAGCTTGTCATAATGCACAAACGTAATATTTAGATGTTCCATCAAGCTGCTCACAAATAAGCAACATCTATACAACTGCAGTAGAATCGGAAAAATGTTCAGCTAGACCGGGGTTCGAACCCTGGACCCTCCGAACTCTAGATGGACACTCTACCAATTGATCTACCAGCTGGTCGCCGATGATTGACACAGTCCATATACTACATTCCTCCCTCCTTTTTCTTAGTTTTTGCACCTGACGACATCATTATTTACTACCCAGGTTCAGGTATCCCCTTGTCGAGCAATTCACCCAATACTTGAAACAAGGGTTGTTGGTCATAGGCATCAAAACGTAACAGGAACGAAAAAATTCTTGGATCAAACCTGTGACTTTCCAATCTACAGACGGATGCTCTACCAATTTAGCTACCTAGTCGCCGACTATTGACCCAGTCCAGTTCCACTACACAATAAAGTTATTAAAATGCCTCTGCTTTCAAGTCTGAAACTGCCTTCGGCATTCGGGGGTCAAACCTGCCCTTACCAGCACATGAGGGACCAAACACTCCTGATGAATGGACATAGTGACTTCCTTAGCAGTATAAAAGCAATACTGGTATGTTTTCTGCCCATAAGTGAGCAATGTTTTCTTTCAAGATTTAAATTTGTTCATCAAAATTCCTGCTGAAATGCAAGAACACAATTCACTGTACTAACCCTGTGGCATGTTCTGATTCTGTTGTCCTGGTCCCTGCTGCCTCATGCCTTGACCTCCAGGGCCCTGTTGACCCCATCCTGCTGGCTGGTTGCCCAGTAGCCCTCTACCCTGCATATTGCCCTGTCCAGGACCCATCATGTTTGGAGCATTGTTCTGGTTCCCTGGACCCATCATCTGGTTTGGCTGACCCATCGGACCTAAAAGCATAGCAATAGCTAAGACTAAAAGCCATATGCTACTTCACATTATACTTCTAATTTGTGTCAGAGTTACCGCCCTTCTCAATATCATACCTTTGATTTGTGAGTTATGGCCCTTTCAACATTACACCTGTCTATAAGACTTTAAACCTTATAGGCTACATTTCATATTATGCATGTGATACGTATCAAGAGTTGAATTAATATCATATGCTATGCTACCTCACAAACAGTCTACACCTGGAAACTTTCGCCTCATTTTTAACTTTCGCCTTTTTTGCCCTTGGCAATAAGGGTGAATTTATCATGACCACAAATGTAAGGACACAGCATACCATATATGCAACAACACACGAAGGGCAAATATTTCAATTTTACCGGTAAAGGGCAAATATTTGACTGCTCGAACATTTACCAGTATACAGTAGTACACATGTAAATGTATTTAGAGTTAAGGTTAATGCTACCTTACACAACATGTAATTGTGATTTTGGTTTAGCGTTATCTCCTTTTAACTTTTTCATTTCCTCATGATATGAAATATACTAAATATATCATGACGACTACAGCACTTCTCCTCCCCCAGATAACACTATAGAGCAACAGATTTGGAGAATGAATGGCCATAATACAATATTATACATAAAATCATAGTTTGATTTGACATTGAAACGTAATTTAAGTCAGGTTAGGAAGTATTTCAACTTGAAGTCACATCACAGACTACAAATTAAAAGTCCTATATAATCTATAGTAACTTAAATATAAAAAATACTCTCTACTCATAACAACGGCAACATGCCAGTAAACAGTTTATCAATTTGACAGAATTATCAGGTGAAATTCAAATTCTGACATATATCTAAATTGTTCTATCTTTCAAAGTTCAGACTCACCTTGCTGCATGAGTGACTGAGGATTACTGTTGTTTGGTGGGCCTTCATCCGGCCCCTGTTGGTTCTCATTTGCTCTTTCATTGGCCTGTTTCATCCTGCGTCTTTCCCTGCGTTTTTCCCTACTTCCTGACCCTCCACTTCCTCCACCACCTGTCATTTCCTCTCCCTCTCCGTCAGGCACGAGGAGGCCTGTGTGCTTCACCATCCACGCCTGCTCGAATTCCCAGGGAATGGGGCGAGCATAAGGAATTTTTTTCTTGGGTATCTCTTTAAGAAGCTGCTGTTCCCTGAAGAACTGTTCGTCTGCTGACCAGTCGAGGCCAGGAATGGTAGGCAGTTCATCCGCACCAACTTCATTGTCTGTAATAAACGGTACGTTTACATTCATAATAACATTTAAACACAATTTTAATTTGTCAATCTTAGATTTTGATAAAATGCATACGTAAATTAAACAAAGCATGTACAGAAAGGATCACAGCAATTTTTTTGCAAATTGAAAATTACAACAAAGCAATTTTTTGTCAAAGTTGGGATAACTTAAGTCTTCATGTTAATGTGGAGAGTAAACAATTTTTATAGTAACAAGCTTAAATACTATGCACACCTTCTGCCTAGCATGAATTTTCTCCTATTTATTTATCCCAGAAGGACACATTAAATGGACTCTCAGAGTTTAAGTGAGAGATATGACAGATGACATAAACCTGAATAATCTACCTTGATTGTTTCTTATCTGATCGTTCATCAGTTTTTCAGCCGGAGTTATCCCCATCCCTGGAATGTTGCTCATCCCTGAATTGTCCAGCTCTGTATCAAGATTAACACATCAAAATTTATTCAATAAAAATATAATCCACACTGGAAAATTATTAACTGTATTTAAATTTTCACCCTTTTCCATATAAATAAGGGTAAAATCATTACGGTAGTACAGTGTTTTAGCTGCATACTTCAATGAAATAAACCAATAAAAGACGATTATTTCACCGTTAATTAAGAAAAAGCTGTGTCGGTTACAAATATTTTTACTGAACAAGATAATCTTCTTTGTAAAACCATATTACATGGACATTAAAATATGGTCACTTCCTGCTTTTGACAACTGAAAAGGTCAGAAAAACATGTTTCCTCTTAAAATCACGTTGCAATTAATATCCTGTTTTCCTTTGACAAATATGATATTAAGCAAAATCTCCTGTAATACATAATGATACAACTTTGAACCTGTCTTAGGTAATCATGAAGTTTTAGTATGACTGTGAATTTAACAACATATATATTTATACAGTAATACAAATAAATTTTAAGGTTATCATTTTTTATAAATTTTTTTACCGAATTCAGGCATCTCGTGTTCAGATCCTCCTGGTAAAGTATTCAGGTTGTATTTATCTCTCATTCGGTCACCAGGCCGATTTCGCGTCCAAAACTTCCTGTTTTTCAAAACAAAAATGAATCAAACTTTTATCTACAATTTACTAAGTAATGGAATAATAAGAGGCAAATGGTTACAAAGCTTGCTGGGCTCCCAAATAATTACAATGCATAGCAATACAATTTTGAATTTCAAAATGTGATTTGTTGACCCCCATGTCAGCCTTAGTTTAGAAAGACTTACGTAGTGTGATCGTTGGAGCCGGACACAAGGATGTGGCCCAGAGGATGCCAGGCCAGACTCCACACCATGCCCTCATGGGCTTCCTCCATCCCTCCGACCTCTCTGTCAGTCCTGAAGAAAAAACCCATTAAGTTATCAAGAAGCCAGTACTCGATTCAAAGAACCCAAACTGTTTTGAGTATAAAAATTATATTCCTAATACATGTATATGTAAAGGGATATTTGATTGTTTCCCTTTAAATAGCGTATTTATTTCTACAGCATGGTAGAATACTTATGCCATTCATGACTGCAAGTTCCAATTGAAAGAATTAGTATATTCTGCAATACAAGTGAAATATATACAATATTCAACAAGAAAACCAGTCAATTTTCTATTAATTAATTTGAAAGTACAAACAACTGAGGAAAAAATTACTGCATCAAAATGCCATACAAATGAAATATATCTGGTATTCAACAGAAAAACTGGCCAATTTTCTATTAATTAAATTGAAAGTACTTACACAGAGGAAAATATTACTGCATCAAAATGCCATACAAATGAAATATATCTGGTATTCAACGGAAAAAACAGCATATTTTCTATTAATTAATTTGAAAGTACTTACACAGAGGAAAATATTACTGCATAAAAATGCCATACAAATGAAATATATCTGGTATTCAACAGAAAAACCAGCTTATTTTCTATCAATTAATTTGAAAGTACTTACACTGTGGAAAATATTCCCGTGTCAAAATGTACGGGTTTTAATAGCATTATATTTTGTGCCGCATTCTAATGACGTCACGCTTGACAACAAGGCTGCATGCTATTTTTGATATCCATTACAGTGTGAAAGATATCAGTTTCATGAAGCAGATAGAATCCAAAACACCATGGCAAATATGTAACAAAAGAACGTACCCGACCATCCAGAACATGACAGCCCCGTCAGATCCCCCGCTCACAAACAGCCCTTCGTGAACCGGGTGCCAGGCTACCGCTGTGGAGGTAAAAGTCACATGCATATACTGTATCCCTGGATTTTATTTTACTGCAGCTTGATGTTCGCCTAATTTGCAAATTCATCAGTACAGTAAATGTTTGACAACAACATAATATACATACGAATGTGAAGGGGGAATTTCATACTGGGCAAAAATGGAAATTACCGTTGAATGGTGAAGATTTGACTGGGCGAACATTTCCCGGTTTATAGTAATTATATACCATTTTACAAAAATTTAACTAGCTGGAAATTCCAGACTTTCTCGACTCTTGATGGATGCTCCACAATTATCAACAGAGTATTCTCAGTTCCCGGTCAATCTTTTTAACATCTGATATAATTTTGGATTTGTTTGGTTTTATTTATTCCCTGGAACAGCTAAGGTTATTTAAAGATGGGTTCCTTAAAAGACACCACCTTTTAAGAAGAGTAACCATGAACTTGAAATTCGCAACTTCAAAACATGAACTTGTTCAAGATATTCTCATATTTAATAAAAAAAGAAAAACTGTGAAATCATTTCAGAAATCAAGTTCCTAGAACATTGACAAAAGATTTCCTATAAATAGTAAGTGTGACCTTGACCTTGACATTCTGAGATCTGAATTTGCTTTAGGTGTTATCATACTTTACTAAAATATCTAGTTTGAAGAAGATTCTTTCAGAAATAAAGTCACTAAAGCAATGACAAAAGACTCTATAAATATTAATTCTGAGATATGAATTTGCTTGAGGTGTTATCATACTTGATTAAAACAGGAAGTTTGATCAAAAATCTTTCATATACAAAGTTGCTAGAGCAATGAAGAAAGATTTTCTATAAATAGTAATTGTGAGCTTGACCTGGACATTTTGAGTTTGAACTCTCCAGAGGTGTTACAGTAACCTACTTGTCTAAAATTTAAAGTTTGATGAAGATTCTGTCAGTAATGTGACATATGTAGTATGAATGCACAAACAGAATGTTATATACCCGCTACAACCTCTTGCAAGGGGACAATAAATATAGACTCCAGGAAATAAGAAAAAATATATTGTCAACCTACCTCCATACATATAATATCTTATACAGAAATAATCAAGAAAAACAATATTTTAAGCATGGCCTTGTACCTGTAGCCTCCTTTTTGTGTCCTTTAAAGGTCTGAAACTCCTCTTTCATGTTCCGAATGTCAAATAGTTTCATGAGGTGGTCTCTGGAGGCTGTCAACAGCCAGTTACCGTTCTGGTTCCACTTCAGGTTCATCACGGTGCCTTTATGGGCATGACTGTAACGGAAACTTTCTTTATCCAAAATTGACACAAAATTACTGTTTCACTTATTATTGTTAACCCAGTGAGTGTTCTAGTCTGTGATACTGACGGGATATAACAGGCCTCTTCAGTTTAAAACACAGCATAATGTGAACTTTTGCTTGTATTTTACCCAGGAAATCTAGCAGTCCTTAGCCATATATATAATAACAAATCTTTAGCCTAGGGAGATTTGACGTCCTCAGCTATATGTGTACGCTACAATAAACCACTCAGCTTGAAGAGCATTGCAATCGTCAGCACAGTACAACAAAACACTTTATGAAAGGCATTTAGTCTCAGCCAGTAGTCCTCAGCTCTCTAGTATCGGTATACTATATAAAGCTAAAATAAGACATTTGAGCTGTGCATTTAGCTCAGGGAGCCTTCTAGTCTTAAGAACTGTACAGGACACTTTTTGATGGGCATTTAGCCCAGTAGTCTTTAGCCAAGTTACAACAGTATACTTTAGCCGTGTATTTATCTCAGGGAGCCGTCTAGTCCTTAGCACGGTAAAAGACACTTTTTGATAAGCATTTAACCTAGTAATTCTTAGATATGTTTAAGTAACAAGACACTTTAGCTGTGTATTGAGCCCAAGGAGCCTGTTGCTCTTACCACTTTACAAGTAAATTACACTTCTTGATGTGTATAGGGAACTTTGTAGTCCTTAGCAAATAGCAAGACACTAAAGCTGCATATTTAGCAAAAGTAAGCCTTGTAGCAGTCTTTAGCACTGTAAAATGATGTAAAAGATGTATTTTCAGCCTAAGAGTGGTTATTAGTGTGTTTAGCTCGGAGACTAAATGCATGCTACTAAGATTGATGGTCAATTTTTGTCAAAATCATGAATCATGAATGGATAACTAAAAGTAAATTAAGTAAATTTTGTTTTAATACCTCCCCCAAACTTACAGAAGGTAAACCACTCTAGTAAATGGAAAATATGCGGGGGAAAGTCAATTTCGTGTTAACAAGTAGTGTCTTGATACTGAAATTATCTCTGGTAGATTGTTAGTAGTTCCTGACTGGCATTGTCAGTAGTGGCTATTGCATAAATCAATTCAAAGGGGAGAGCTTATTAGGATATTCCTGCTGAGACGGGGAAGGGACGCTAATTAGTACAGTAATTGAACCTGTGTGAAATGAGAATCAGTCCATCTTAAATGGAAACGTTAAAAGCAGTTGTTAGACAGGATTAACTATACTTGCTGCAAAGTTGTGTACGTACATTGTGGCCAGGCTGGTGCCAGACTTGGGGTCCCATAGTTTGAGTGGCTGCTGGTTGTCCTTGCTGCCCGAGGCAATAAGGCACTTCTGGGGGTGCCAGTCCACACACTTGACATCTGCTCCGTGACCTAGGGACAGCAATACATGTTCAGGTGGCCTTACACTGGAGCATGCTTCACATAATTAGTACTGTGTTGCTGTATCGATTGATTTTGCTTTTTGGACATGTCGGGTGATGTCCTTATAACTGAAGCTTTCTCTTTTCTTTTCAGGTCAACATGCAGGGTCATGATTTTATTATCATCTTTCATTGTTATTACCGGTGTATATTTTCATGACCCTTTGACCTTGACCTTTGACCGACACATTGAGCATTTTACAGTGTATTATGAAGGTATTAAGTTAATATTTCCTGTTATGCCTAACATGATGAAGGCATTCTATTTTTTTGTTTAAATACCATCGATAATACCAACATAATTCTCTCTATGTGAATGCATGTCATGTTTCCTTTTTCCAGGCATCACCCCCAAGTCACATTTGAACCTTACCAAATCAACAACTGGGCAAGTCCAGTTTAAATATGGGGTGAATGAGTTAAATTTACAATAGGCTGACCTATTGAAGAGAGACCCTTGAACATGAAATTTGTATGTATCCAAGCACTTTGATATTATGGAATGATGACAATTGTTTTCTATTTATGGTAACAGTGACCTTTAACTTGATCACAATTACCCTGTAAACCAAACTTGTTTTATACTTGAAATAGTATAGTTTTGCTAACTCCATGCAACTGAAAACGCAATGGAGCAGTATATTCAATATACACTGTAACATCAACTAACACCACTAGCTCAGCCAGCTATCAGAGTTGCAGTATTGGTTAGAAATTAGATTTGTTTAAGGTTAATTAGCTTTAAACATTGTGTTAAGTTTCATTCAACCAAATCAAGGATGAAGGAGTTAAGGTTAAAGTTTTGAATAACTTGTCTTTGGTTCAACTTTTTTATTACAGCTTAATAACTAGTCAAACCTGGTTAAGCAACTACCTGTATTAAAAGATGATTTCTTTGTGAACTAAATCTGTATAAAGACCACTTTCATGACTTCGTGAGGGTGCTCTTTTAATACAAGTTGGATGGTATCGGGCAAATACAATCATTAACAATAGCTTACATGGCTACATATTAACAGTTTAAACAGCATTATTTTATCTTTAAGTTCTGAATGCTTATTTGATTGCTTGCATTGCCTGATAAAGGATGGCAAGTCCTGTGGAAATTGTGACTTTGCAGATTTTTTTTGAATAAAAGAGTTCGTGAGCATTTCATCACCACTAGTTACGTATCGCTTGTTATTTTAACTGTTGCTTAAAACCATGGATTTGCTTGAATTTCAATTTCGAAGAAATTCCTTCACCTAAGTTTTCATAAGTAAGCATTTAATGTTAAAGAAAAACCTTAAATTAAGAAAATTCAGCAATGCGCTCCTACGGAAGATCTTAAGTTCACGTTCCTAAGAATGAGGCTTGAGGAGAAGGTAAGAGTTGTCATGCTATGTACATCACTAATGTGATTCATAGGAATAGCTGGTCTTTCCCCGAGAGAAACTCAATCAAATACCTTTGTCTGGTGTGCTGCACTTGCCTGCCTGTTCGCGTGTTCGGTTTTGGTCAGTGTTTGTTAATATGAAGCTGTCATAATGTATCATTCGCTTGTCAGTTTTGACAACATCCAGAGACGTGATAAGATTTTTTGTTCAAACTATATAAGGTCAGCGTATTCAAGTCATAGATTCCGGATTTAATCCACTGTCAGCATTTACTTTTACCTGTACAGATTCCTATAGCCATTCATCAGGGGCACCCATTGTGTAGTGTCTCGAATTTTTCCCCACACCAAATATATTTTGACATTATAAATTTTATTTTAAGTTAGCAGTAATCAATAAGATGTGATTTTACAGGTTTTGTTTCCATGTCTCCTCAATAATCCATGATCAGTCAGTAAGGTCAGTTATATTGCAGTCAAGCTATACTACGGATTTAATGATCAGACTTGTAATTAATGCCTCTCAAAATGGTCAGAACTATTTCTTCCAATTCGTAAGTCTTTTGAACTTCACCATTGCTAATAAAAGTGGTTTTCAGTTTTACTATTGTGTAAGAATTTTGTGTCAGTTTCAGATGTTATCTGAACAAGGCTGTTCTAGGACATCTTGATATCAATGGCCTACAATGTACATTTCACACTAGAAACACATTCTTGAGATCCGTGTATTCCTACATTGATATAACTACATGTACTAAATGAAGTAGCATATATCTTCAGTAGGTGTAAAAATGTACATTTCACACTAGAAACACATTCTTGAGATCCATGTATTCCTACATTGATATAACTACATGTACTTAAATGAAGTAGAATATATCCTCGGTAGGTGTAAAAGTGTAAGGCAAAACAACATCCCATCTTTGTCGACTTGGAAACAAAGACGGAATTATCCTTTTAGGTGCAAAACAAATAGCAGATAAAGTTTTAAATACCTTAAACCAGTTGGAATGGTTAAACAAAATACGTTGATTGTTGGGTTTAGACGAGTTGTTTCCATGCCGATTATCACTCCTTAAGTCACTCGACGAATTTTCTATCTTCAAACAAACCTACCTCTCAAAATTTTTTCTTCATGACATTTCATAAAATCCCATATTCGGACTGTTCCATCGTCTGAGCAAGTCGCAAATTTATTATCCGTTGGACAAAAACTGTGCAGAAAAAAATAAACAAACAACGTATGCAATATTAATGACATAAACATATTTATTGCAAAAAACATAGATTATAGAATCCATCAGTCACAATACATTGAGGTTATGTGTCTTATCTTGCTTCATAAATACTGCAAAATTCGGGCAGATGCCTTTATTAATAATCTATTCGATGCAAGGGTGAGATGCCTTTATTTGTAACCTATTTGATGCAAGGGCGAGATGCCTTTATTAGTCAAAGATCTAAACGGGCGAGATGCCTTTATTGAAAAAAACCCTCTCTTCTGGTGAATAACACAAGGCAAAAAAAATGTATTAAACAAGATCAAAGTTAAAATATTGAAAGCTCCATATCAAGCAAATAGCAGGCCATGTGCCAGATTTAAGGTATAATATATATCAATGTACACATGCAAGCTAATGGGCTTATGCCTTTATTGAAAAATCTCTAACAAAAATCTGTGAATTGTGTTGAAATCCTTGAGTATGAAGCTGTAAAATTGTTGATTTGGGCTTGAAGCCTTTATTGAACTCTCAAAGAAAAACTTTGGGCTTAATGCCTTTATTCAAAACAAAATTGTAGAAGATTGGGCTTGTGCCTTTATTCAAAAACTCTTCCAAAAATATCTATACCACTAATGGTGAATCTTCAAAGTTGGTTGCAAAGCGAATGGGCCAATGCCTTTATTGATAAAAACTTTATTCACAATCCAGCACTGTGGGAATTATGTTGATCTTAACAACTCTACGGAATTCTAAAACTATATATATATATATTCGTTGGAATAGAGCCTTTATTCTGAAGTAAGCTACATAATGTTTGGGCTAGGGCCTTTATTTAAAACAAAAAATCAATCACAATCTGATATTTGAAACAACACTACTGCAGAATACTAAAAGTAACCTTGTGGGGCTTGATGCCTTTATCCAGATGTAATTAAGCTGAACCTGTTTGGGCTAGAGCCTTTATTGAAAAATATTTTATCGCAATTTGATGTTTGCTACAACATTTTGCAACAGAATTCCAAATATTGTTACGAACAACGCCGCTACAGAATTCTTAAAGTATACTTGTATTATGTTGCCTTTATTCAGATGAAATTAAGCTGCAAACTGTTTGGGCTAGTGCCTTTATTGAAAAAATATCTGATAACAATTTGTTGTTATGACCACACTGTTTCCGAATTCTAAAAGTATCCTTGTGGGGCTAAAGCCTTTATTCAGATGTAGGACGCAGACTTTTTGGGCTTGCGCCTTTATTTGAAATTGCTGAATCCCAAACAAGTAATGGAAACAAGAAATGAAATGTCAATAGTTTCTCTAGATATTGGAAAATGACTGGAGACAATCTGGAATAGTCCAACGCTGAAAAACATGTTGGGCTAGATGCCTTTATTGAGTTCTTAGAAATAAAGTGTTGTTGTTTTTTGGCACTTATTCTAACAAAAGAAAATCTTCACAATCCAAAGCGTCGATGGAAGTTAAACTCATAACTTTATTGAAGCCATTATCGGAAATTCTTCACTTTTATTAATGTCCTGAATTTAATACCACTGCTCATGATCATCTTGTTAAAAGAAGGGGTAACAAGTCTTTGGAAAAAAACATTCTACTGGTTTTCTTTTTTAAAATCCTGACTTAAATATTGCAATATATTTAAATAAATATACAAGCACAATTTGGTCCTCTTCTATAAACCAAAATTTTTGAACTCCTGCTCAATCACAGAAACTGTAAAATGTAGCTATTTTAAGTACGCATCTTCACTGGGATTTATGAAATCTAACTTGAATTCCATGTCTCCTGAGAAAAAAAATCTGATTCAAAAGTACAACAGCTACTAGTCTTGAAATTGCAAAACACCAAGAAATATACGGAATTTATACAGACATTAATGTCAATGTATGCGAAACCTCTTGAAAAATGAATTTGGTGTATTTTTTTTATCTAGGTTAAACAATAACTTAAAAGCTGATTGCCAATAGCTAATTGGTGAACAACATTGATGAGGCAGAAAAATTAGATTTGATGGTCTTGTAGGTCCAACTCCAAATTTTGATTTGGCATAAGATTTTGGTTTGTGTTCAGTTTTTATTGATAGCTCACTAATGTCACAAAAATAGTTTTGAAAGCATGTTGCTAGAAATTGATTTTGGAAAAAAGGCGGCAATAAAATGTGGAGTAACAGGTTATAAATGTTTACATCTAATAAGAAATTTTGATATAAAATTAAATATTCTGTAATAATTGACAGAAGAAACATACCTGAAGAATGATTTTGAAAGTGTTTAATTAAAATTTGGTTAATTAGAAAAGCAACTATGTAAGTGTTTAGATGACCACACAGATAAGGTGTAGCCAAATTGCTGACTGCGACCTGAGGTAATGGGAGAGACAAGTAAATACAACAGTCCAGCACAGTATCCCACCTTATCCCGCGCACGGGTTCCTTGTGACCCTGGTACATCTTCACATTATTCATGTTGGTCTGCCAGTACTTGATGAAGCCTGAATGGTCTGCCGTCACCATCCATTGGTCATTGTGGCTCCATTGCATCGCTCTTACCGATGTGTCATGGGCCTGCAAACAAAATGATGCTAGGTACAGAAGTTTGAAAATATAATTATTAAAATCTAAATCAAAAGTACATAGCTTCACTGCAGACTGCAGTCTTGCATGTAGTCAGATTTTAAAATGTCCAGGATTTTCTGCTGAATTTTCAGAATTGCTTTTATGTTGTGATGTGAGATGCCTTATATTAATCAGACATAAATTGATGTGAAAACCTGATAAGTAATAATATAAACTGATAAAGTAACAGTTGAAATAATTTGTTAATTGTTATTTATATCAGCATGTTGTAAACATTCTGAAAGAATTCGTTTCGCCGTCGTAATGATCAGTATGTAAATTCTACTTTCACTTTCAAATAATTTCGAGCATATTCCTAAGAACTATCTTCATGCTACATCCTAGCTTTTTTGCAACGAGAAGTCGCGTTACATTTTGTCCAATAAACGTAAAAATGTTTGCCGCGCTATGTCAACTATGATCATGTGACAATCACATTCCTCGCAAGTAGCGCGGTGAAATCAAATTACAAAGAAACAATCACAAAATATTCACTTTTTAACAATAATCAAATATTGTTTTTAACATAAACTATAAATAAAGCAGTTGTCGTCAGTTGTTTACGACAATAACGTTAACTTTGGATCAATTTCCAGCACCATGCTGTCAGGGCAGTATGTCCCGATTTTGACACTTTTCAACGTAGACCCAGGGAAATCAACTTCAAATGCAAAAGAAAAACTATTGCTGAAGTGAATAAAAACACACCACTTCCTCCGAAGTAATATTTTCATTGAAATCGGCAAGTGATGCTCCATCTACTGTTTTTTGCTGACTGGGGTGAAGCAAGGTGTGAAAAATTTACCTGGAGTGGACAGGTGTTCACCTCGGGCTATGTACAGTTAGCCGGACCTATTGTTTAATTGTCCAGGTGTTTCACATGGACAACTTACCTGAGTTTTTACCTCATTAAATCCATTAACGGCAGAAAAAAGCATATCATAATAAGCGGGGTCCCACCTCTGACCATATCATAATAAACGATATTCTTTTGCTTAGTTAAAGAAGGTAAAAATCGGTACATGGGGAAAATATCATAATAACCGATATAGCATAATAACTGATATTATAATAAGTGGGTTCCACTGTAGAAGGTAATGATTAACTAGAACTGTCATCTGGAGGATAACTATACTCCCGCAGATGCTGGTAGTTTATACATCATTTAGTTACTTTGACCTGGGGTTTCCGGACAAGTTATTTTGCATAATGGACCGTAACTTCTTTAAAAAGTGTTTAAATCTAAAATTAAAATGCCGGTGCACGACTACATAATAAGCCCATCATTCAAGTGAAGTTTCAACAAGTATTTTGCACAAAGGGGTATAACTCCACCAAAAACGGTCGAAATCCCAAATTAAAATGCCAGTGCACGACTACATAAGATACCGATCATTCATGCAAAGTTTCAATGTTAGTTAAGGAGGTATTTTCCGGACAAGTTACTGCTGACGACATCCAGAAAGGTTGATTCCAGTATACCCCCCCCCCCCCCCCACTTTGTTTCGGGGGTATAAAAACAAGGTAAGTGGAAACTCATTTAGATATACCCCCCCACACACACAAACTAAAGTGTTCCAAGTATGACCATTGACCCTTTAACTTTGACTGAGGACCACCAAAATCTCATTCAGGTGTAGAACTTTTCAGGGTTTTATGAGATATCTTGAACACAAGCATTTTACTTTAGTGGCTGTAATGCTGCACCCTGCCGTAACAAAGCAATTAATAAATACCACCCTCATTAAGTGGTTGTTAAATTAATTGTGAACATACTGTAGTTGAACATATCATTCAGTTGAAGTTTTGAACAAAATGACTATCTCGCATTATTTATTTCTCAAAACTTTCACATCTGACTGACATATTCCTGCATGATATACACAAAATAAGTAAATATAACTTTAGGAATCATGGTAATAATATTTAAGTAAAGTATATCAGAAATCTTGTTACCTGCAGAATAGTTTCAAAGTTAAAGGTCAGACCGTTCCACAGCGTGAACTCTCCACTAGATGCTCCGGTCACTAAACGCCTCCCTTCTGGTGTCCACTACAGCACATAAAATAAGTCATTAGTCAGTTTTTACAATGTGAGGGAAAAAAGATTAAAAATGTCTGTTCTGAATTTGAATGTTTTTTTGTTTGTTCTGTAAAATATGGAAAAGGTATCGTAATCCCACTGGAAATAGTGCTGAAATCCAGCTCCAAATAATTAAGATTACCTCATGTATACAACTTGCTGAAATATACAACATGTTAAAAAGTTGTTGCATAGGTATATAAACAGATAGTCACTTTATTACATTTTTAGTGAAATTTAATTTCTTACTGTAAAAATATGCTTGGCATTATTTTCTGTCAGGCACACTTCTTGTAACTTTCACACAAAACCAACTAACCAGACAGCAGGGTTAAATGGGGAAATTAACAAATAATGGGTATTATCAATGTGCCATGTGCACATCACACCACCCCCACCCAGCATTTTCTTAATGGGATGTCACATACAGAATTCTTTGTCTTGTTATTTTTTTTCTTTGCAAATGATGGTTTACCTGTGCTTAGATGCCAATGTCTTTATACAGAAAAACATTAAGAACAGAATATTCTTGGTTCATTTATATAACACTGATATTTCCTATACACATGTGATTTTTTTTTTTTTTTAACACTTTCACCACTGACCAGCTGTGGACTCATCTAAACAAATGCATGGTTGAGTCTTCTAAAGTTACCTAGTGGTAAAAGGATAAGTAGTTCGGTCACACTCACCGCTAAGCAAAAGATTGGACATCTGAACTTATTTGTGGAGGTACGGATGAATTTGGTGGTTACACAGTTCATGGGGTTGTCCTTCATATGCAGGGGAGGTGTAAGCTGAAACAGAGCAAGGCATGTATGTTTGTATTATCACATCATAATTTAGTTTCATGATTTTTATTTCTTCAGAAAACTTCTATCAACATATTTTAGAGGTGATCTTATTGTATTGATTTTCAAATAAATCAGTAATTTGTGATATTGTCATTGTAAATTAAACTGCAATCAGATCGGGAAAGACAACGCACCATATGGAAAAGCTATAGGCCTCATTATATTGCTTTTGTCTGTATGGGATAGAATATGCCTGCGTATTGCGATATACTGGTTTTGTGATATATTGTGACAGCACTAACAGGATGGTTCAATAATATAACACAATTACCTCAATCTGATACAAGGACTCTGGCTGAAGGGCTCGTCTATCCCGGTGATCTCGCTGCCATATCCTATCCTGTTAGAATTGAACACAAATGAGTTAAAGTTTTGACCCTTATACAATGTGTAATTACTAAACTTCTTAAGATTCTCTATACAGCCTAAATGTTGTAGGGTCCTTTCATAATTTTCTGTTAGAGTTTAGATATTAATAGTAACATTAATACTTTGACGAACGCCCTAAATGTATCTGAAGTGCAGAAACTGCGCAGATTTCATGTTTTACATACCTGCATATCTCGAGGTTCAACTATATTTAATCATTGTATTGCAACAAAATGGAGGTGTTATAGTAGAAACCCATAGACAGAGACCTTTCTGAAAACTTTGTGCACTAGTTAACTTAACCCTTGTTAAGATAATGAGAATATCCCAAACGGAAAAATGTAACTGATAGGGTATAACCTAAAACCAGAGCTTGGTATTTGATACAAATCAAATTCATACCTGTAGATAGTTGATCACTGCCGAGTTATAATCTATCGTTTTTCTATGGACTGCCTTTCGCATGCGTTTTCCGTCGAACATGACGGCCTGTCCCATAGCTCCTCCAGAGTCTCCCCCCTGTTGGCCTCCTCCACGACCGAATCCTCCCCTGCCATACCCTCGCCCCATCCGCTGTCCACCATACCTTGGAGCTTCTGTTGCTACTCCACCATCCATTCTTCAATATTTCAGTAATCTGAAGAATTGTGAAATCAACAAGATGCAAATGATTATAAACTGGTTTTTTAAATAGGTGTGTTATACAACTATTGCCAATTGTTAATTTTCTTAATATGAAGTTGAAAATAAAAATACTGATAGTCTTATTTTTGTTTTAGGACTCAACATGTCAAAAGATAAATGACTTGTAATTTGTATTAAATGAAGATCAATATCTTTAGACAATCTTCATTGTAAATGTTACAAATATAAAAGCTTAAATCTCAAGTATGGCCAGTTGCATATTTTCAAGAATTAATTCCAAGTTGTATGTATTATAAACATAAGCCTTCAATAAAGTTTTATAATTATGAAAATTTAAATAACAAATATTCTTCAGGGTCCATATCCCCCCCCCCCTTAAATTCTTGAATATGGAGTTGTGGCAGACTATTTTGACAGACATTAAAAATTTGAGGGGAACATCTATCCAATGAAAATTCAGCTTCATAAGCGGTTTAACTTTTTGTATTCACCACTTCATCAAATAAGTTTTCCATTAGCTAACCACACCATTGCTGAAAATGTCTGTGGTGCTAGAACATTACCTCTTATAAAGCTTCTTTCAGTGGTAATATTTAATTACTAAATGGTAAATATGAAAGTTTTAGGGTTGTAGTGAGAACCTTGGTGATTTAATTTTTTTGGAAAGGTCAAAGCGTTAGCCCCGCGGCCGCAGTATATTTTTCAGCACAATCTGCAAATTTATTACCCGATTTTAAGTTGATAAATCGTCTCAACGTATATTCTGTTCTGGTAAAGAATTACAAGGTTAAATACCTTACAGTTGAGAAAACTAATGAAATATTTCGTCTGTTTTTTTCCAGAAAAATTGCATACCTAGAAGGGAAGTTTGAAAATTCCCATAGGTTATGGCCGAAATAAGATGCTATAATTTAAAAGCAAACATAATGTAGACTCGCTATTTGATTAACTAAATGACATGCATATAGTTATACCGAGTACAACTAAGAACACATCGACATTTAAATCACATTTTTGTGTGCGAAATGCCCGGCTTACTGTCGGCCCGGCCGATCTGCCATTTGGCAAATATAGGGGGCCTCAGTCACATAAACAGCTGGGTTGATGTAATTAATTTCTTACCAAAGCCCTTTTCAGGCGTTTCGGTTTTGCATGTCATCGACAATGACATTATATAACAGTGTCAATCTTTCGCACGAAGCTTAATAACAACGAAAGTTTAATTGAGCACAAGTCGCATGCTGACTAAAAAATGGCGGACTCCTTGTTACAAAAATAATCTATCGGAATGTATTAAACCGAAACGAACGTAAATTGGTCGAATCAATTTTTCTATATTTATCCAATTATTGAAGGAGAAACCTTCCTATTGTTATATTTTGATAGCTTGATTTAAACTTGATTAAATGATGTGTATTGGAAAAATATAATTATTCATAATATATTCCGTTAATTTATCACTTCGTAAATTATGTTAACGTAGCAATGAAAAAACCGGAAGTGTACAGCTTTTGCAGTGTATTTCGTAGATGCTTATTTATTTACAATCTGTTATAATCGAGTAATCTGACGTTCTGTCATGAAACCGGCGTAATTGTTGGAATTGCTTATATTGCACTGGTGATAATTAAACCAATATTAAGTCAAATTAGGCCGTAAAAATGGCTCAAATTTCTCAATTATGCGACTCTAACCCCACGATGAATCTGAAATTTGCCATTGTTTGCTCTAGCAATCAAAACAGAAGTATGGAGGCACATAATTTTCTCAGGTGAGGGGACGTATTACAAGACATCGAAAATATTAATTTAAGTGGTCTTGATTCCTTTGTAATAGATGTCACTATAAAATAAACGCAAACGTTTAAGATCTTTACCAATATCCGCTAAGGAAGGAACTGGGGGACTAAGTCTACTTATACGGACTTTCACATGTTTCAAATTGATCGGTCGCCACTGAAGATATAGATTGACCCAAAATATGTCGTTGGTATTATTCCTTACTACCAAGTACTTGCAAAGGAGCCTGAAGTTCTGTCAATAATGAATAATAACAGTAATACACAAAAAATACCTATAATATGCTTAAAAAGGATATTAATTTTTATTATAGGTATTTTTTTGTATTGACAGAACTTCAGGCTCCTGTGGTACTTGCCAGTACACAGAAGGCCTTCAAGGCTGGCCTAACAAACATGAAAGGCAAACTGCATTCTCTCATCCGTTTTGTTAATATATGTCAGGAATGGGATTCCAGCGACATACTTGTTCAGAATCGGACAGTGTCTATGTCATAAAGTGTCGCCGAAGACAGAATTTCCATGTAACTTAATTAGCCCGAGTATCCTCTGTTCCTTGCACCAGACATCTATCTGACAAAGTGTCTAAGCATGGTGTCAAGGCCAGAGGAAACTGGCTAGATCCAGTTCTGCAATAACATTATTACTCTCTCAATTAACCAAGTCATCAACACAGAACACAACACTTATTACAACCAAGATGCAAGCATATCCCTTGCCAAGCACAATCCAGTACTTGAAACAAAAACATAAAATTAACCACCACAATTATCAGATGTCTTTCTATCGAATTTAAGAAAAAAATCTTCTTTGCAAAAGTATCTCATTCATTCAGCCTTCTGGAGATCACCCTTTTAAATTCTGCTACATGGGGACATAGATGGCTAGATTATGCTTCATTATACGCAATTGTTGTCAGTAAAATGCATACCCATCACTTGTACATGTGCAGTCATATCTTACTAAATCAACTTGATACTGGCATAAGCATTTAGTAATGAATTCCCAGTATTGATCAGATGAATCACAGTCAAACAAATTTGACTTATACATCCATTCACATGTATTAATAACATATTGGACGACACACATTTTTTCCTACATCCTAATTGGCTGGATCACAATCATGTGGAGTTCAATATTTTTGTGATATTGACTCGATCTAAATGATTTTAGAAACAGCAGGTTAATACGATTTCTGTCAAATACATTCTGTTAAATTCTGACGATGTTTATAAGTTCCATATTCTTTATTGATTGGAACCTTATTTAGCATCTAATATGACAATTAAGGATTTTTGTTTTTGGTGAATATGTGGTTTATTCACCTGAAAAAGTGGCCAATATGACTTATATGACATTCACCCCAACAGGGGTCCATAAGTGATCGGCACTTGCTGTTAAAGTCACAAATGCTAACATTAATGTTTCTGGACAAGCTTTCTTTTAGTTATTTTATTACTGGTCAAATTTGACTTAAGTCCAAGAATATACAGCATATGTCTATGTAATATCAGTTTCTTAATACAAACATACTTAAAACATTCATAGACCAGTTTTGTGGGGGAAATTGTACAAACATATTTAGTACTTGATAAAATGAAATTCAGAAAGTATATATATGTGTAATGATAAGGGGAAAAAAACATTTTTTAAAAAGACCTTTCTGTCTCCAACGGAGTTTGAACCTATTTGAGATCCTTTATTAAACTCATTTACCCCTGAAGAAACATCTGAACTCTTCCATTTCAAAGGTTGGAATAGTTCATTATGATATTTCAGGGGTGAATAAGTTCATGTGACTTGAGGGATATGAAAGTACAAAAATTGTCAAGATCAATACTGATCAGCGCTGATGAGTTTTGAAATAAAAAAACAATGACATTTATGCAAAATTTAATACCTGCATTCTTTATCTTCATTCTATTGACAGCAAAAAGGGATATCGTGTGAAGTCGTTTGGAACAGGAACTCAAGTGAAGCTGCCGGGTCCAGCGCATGATCGCCCAAATATTTACGATTTCAACACCACCTATGATGAGATGTACCGAGACTTGATGGATAAAAACCCAGAATTGTATCCTATTTGTAGCATGGGGTCATCCTATGTGGCTAATGGTCTTCATCCATATTTCCTGAAGACTTAGTTTAAATCCCAAAATTGCAGAATTGTTTCTTGTAGATTTTTTTTGAAAAAGGGACCTCCATCGATAGGCACCCATGTACAGAAATGTGTGCTGTGAACAACTCGCATAACATTTTACCTTTAAATAGAATTTCATTCTCTTGGATGGCACATATGGTTGAATATCTATCAGCTTGTTACTGGTTCAGCTGGAGTTATATTTCACTTCAGCTTGATCAGTAGAGCACTGGATTAGTAAACCTATGGTCCGAGGTTTATCTCCAAGCCGAGGCAACTTAGTAGCACAAAGAGAGCTATTGCACATTTAGACAGCATTTTGTGTTATAGATACATTTAAAACTGTTCTAACAAAACAGTTAATATATAAAAGGTGCAAGGAAAATGAAACAGATATTGTTGGCATTTAAGGAAGATAAATATGTGGATCTCATATCTATATCCCAGGCATGTATATGAGAAATCCTTATCGGTAATTTATGTTTTACTTTAGGAATGGAATTTACCTGGTAATACTCGATTCTATTACATGAACACAGACGGTGACAATTTTGAATTGCTTCATACAAATGACGTTTGTCTTACCTTTTCATTTGTTTGATGTTATTTCCTTTTATACACATCTATATTATTTACCTTTTATTGGCCCTAAAGAGATTTTCTTCTGGGTTGATGGGTTGCTAAGAATTCAATATCTAACTTGTTCAATTTCTATTTGTTTAAGATGGCAATGCTACATTCCAGCAACGAGAAGTGGACCATCATTTATAATATTTCTGGATTGCTGTAACCTGTAACACATTTTTTGTCGGAGCAAAGGTGGTATTATTTCCTATTCATTCGAATGTCAGCAATGCTCATGTTTCTTGTGTGAATATTTCCTCCTACCGGAAACAAAAATGTTGAATAGCTTTCATAAAGACAATTTTCATTCTAGTTCAAAGGACAAAGTAACAAAGAATCAGAATTTATATAATAATGCTTCATTTCAAAATATACCTTTTATGTCTTGGAGAGTTATAAGTATACCAGGGATTTATGTCAGGAGTTATCTCCCTTAGTCATTAGGTCTGAATTGTGTTAGAGTTACCTCCCTTACACAGTATACACTTTAATCTGATAATTTGGTATCATGATCTATCTGAGCATAGTGTTGTGTACCTTTCACAAATATCTCATTGCAGTCAAAATTACTATTCTTTAAAGATTCATTTACATTTTCGAACTCTTTTGAATTGAATATTCATTTTACTGTAAGGTAGGATAGTTTTCAAGACTGAGGAAAGAGATTAAATTGACTTTGTATCAATAGGTTCACCTTTTTGTCTTTCATACTTTGTTCTTAAAGTTGGAGTGCACAAGTGTGTTAATTAGCCTGTATATAGTACATGTAATTGCTATTTAAAATCAGGTTTGAAAAGATTAATTGTATTCTTTTCTATGTTTTTGATAGAAAAGTTTATATTAAAAATGTCGATTCATATTTGAGTTTTAGGTGTTTGTGAATTTAATAAGTTGTTTTTTGAAATGACAGGAAATGGATAAGCTTTGTCATCTAAGTCTCCAACCGAAAATTTACATTAATATCATGGTTTCCTCTCGACAAAAGGATCAATGTTGATTTTGCAATAGAACAGAATAGATTTATTGATCCAGAGAATTCAAATTGTTTCTATTTTAATCTTTTGGACAGATGACAAGGCTTTGTCCGTCCAGCTTTATTGTTCAAAGCAACAGCAAGTCTCTGTAATCTCCCTAAGGTACTAGCCGAGATTCAAAACCAGTTCATTTCTACAATCTGAACAGTTGTGTTTCTGTTCATTCCAAAGCATTTATTTTCATCAGTTAATTATATCTTCAGGATAATATTGAAATGTTTAATGTAAACAACGGTTTAACTTTTCAAGTCTTTATGCAGTTATGTTACCAATACTTTGTTCTTGGGAATTATCTTGTAACTAATAAAAAGATTTCCTATGGGTTTTAGAACTCCAAAGCTATTTTCTCTATTTGAACTAAAATTTTATCTTCGAAATCTAAGGGTTCTGCTTTTGATTTGCACAACTGGAAGATGTGATGACCAAACCAAAGGCTCACAGTTTGCCGTTCTATTGTTTCAGGCGTATAAAAAATCAGACAAATATTGCTGTCGTGTGATTCCTTATATCTTGCATATCTTTGAGCAATGGTATGCAGGAATTCATTGCAGTTTCTAGACTCGTAACAATCGGCAAGATGGCTTAAACATAGCCTTCATGTGGTCATGACATATTCTATCGGTGTAGAGAATATGCAAGAGAACCATAAATTTCGACGATGATGGAATTTAGACTTTAATATTTTCATTCTGTTGAAAATAGAGTTTATTGCAATATGATAGAGGTGAAATTTCATCAAAGCTAACTATAAAGTAAAATATAGAATGATCTGAGAGAATTGCCCAATTAATTGGTTCAAAACATTGTATAATGACAACAACAATGTTCTGGATTAACTCTTTCACCCCTGAAGACACATTTGAACTCTTCCAATTCAAAGGTTAGAATATTTCATTATAAGAGTTCAGGGGTGAATGCGTTAATGGTTTGAATCTCTGCTATTATTCAGAGGTAAAAAGTTTGAAAATTTCACTATCAATTTAGAAAACCATTCCGATTTTACTCAGAACTGCATTTTAATACTAAATGTCTGATAACAATGGAAAAAGTACTTTTGCAAACATATAAAAATTCTGTGACCAAACTGATTTTCTTATGTTCCAATCAAAATAAGAACAACTATAGCTTTCATCAAGACAAAGGAGGATATTCAACATGGAAAGATCTTCAGTCAAATGAAATATAAGTCCTGAACTAATTCATAATCTTTGCAGTTGAGCTCAAGTTTCAAAACCAAAGAATATTTGAGTTGATATAAACGTGCAGAGAATAGATAAAAATTGCTTAACTCTAAAATGAGAAGCTTTCAATAAGAGGATGATTGAAAGTGGAAATTAAACACAGGATGAAAATTATCATCTGTTTAGTTAAGCAATATTAAATCAAGAGAAAGGTAAATTACTTTTTTTCAGTATTAAATCAAATGGATTGCTCAAAATGTGCAAAAAAGTTGACTTTCAAATATAATACATGTAGTATAATTTCTTTGAATAGCTAGTTCAGATTTTTTGTTGAATTTAGTTTCATTGATGGTTGCTTATGGGCTATTTTTGCATTTATTTTGCAATTATGTAAAAAAAAACAAAAAAACATTAGGTGTAATGTTTTTATACGATATGCAATGAATAATTTATAAAACCAATTGCAACAAATTAATCTGAAAAGCTACAGGCACACATTACTTAAAAAAATAGAGTTGTCTTCCCTTTTCAAAAGTAACGGAGTCGGCCCTAGTCTATTAAAGGTAAACTTGACTTGTATTCCGTAACACCGAGTCTTACTTAACCTTTCTTGAAAATATGCATCTGTCCTGTTCTATATTAATTTCTTGTTGTATCATCCATCAAATGGTATTGGTAAGCCTTTAACAAAGCAGAAAACAAAATTCTGTGGTCGTTATAGACAGTTTTGAAAAGACAGCACTAATTAATGATAACATATGCCTCAAGAAGAAAGCAATTAAAGTTTAAGTACATCCTTCAGCAAAAAGGAAATTACATTTTCAGTACATGATGTTAAAATGGTTCATACGGGCCATTAAAAGTGCTGAAATTGAGGTCAGTATGTACTTGAAAAAATATGGTAAATTTGTGACATCGTAAAGTGCTTGAGTTGTACTCAACATGCCTTAACAGGAATATTTATTCTGGAGACAATTGACATTCTTTGATATGAAAAGTTGGTTAATGCAGAACTGTTAAAATACATTTTGTGTTGATACAAATTTATTATTGTGAAAAGTTCATAGGTTATTTAAGTGTCCCCCCACCCCCAAAGGTCACACCTGGGATTAACAGAAAATATTGTTTTTAGTGTCATTTGAATCTTTTTTTCATGCAGGGTTTTTATTCCAAAAAAATGCTTTCTCATGGTTTTTTGTGTCATAGTTTCAAACTCATTTTAAATCCTGTAAAACTATTCTGTTGAAAACTCACCCCTTATCACTTGGATGTCATTGTGGCATGTTTTGTTAACTCATTCACCTCTGAAGACACATTTGGACTCTTCCAATTCAAATGTTGGAAAAGGCCGTTGTGAAATTTTAGGGGTGAATGAGTTAGATAGAACTAGATTTGCAGTCTCCAAAGAAGTTTCATGAAGTAAGTCATGTGATATTAAGGATACAAGATTCTTTTATGAACAGGTTCTGGTTGTGATTAAAAATCTCTAGCTGTCGCTGTATTAAATATGAAACCCAATTTGAATGTTTGACAAGAATGGTTACATTATTTCCATGAATGTTTACCATTATAAATCGGTAGAAATAGACACATGACTGAAAAACATGACTTTTGACATTTAAAAAGAAATTAACAGAGATATGATTGATACCATCATTTAAACCTGCATATCTTGCAGGAATTCTCTACATTGCACTTGATTTCAGAAGCCTGAGAAAGTACAGAAGATCAACAGCTTTCTGCATTACACTGGGTATGTTTCATGTTACTGGTTCTGCTGTCAAAGGGTTGACCCTGATAAAGTTTTCCTGCTGTCCAAGGGTTGGCCTGACCTAGTTCTCCTGCTGTCCGATGATTGACCTGACCTAGTTCTCCTGTGGCCCAATGATTGACCTGACCTACTTCTTCAGCTGTCCGAGGGTTGATCTGACCTAGTTTCACCCCCGATGGCTATCCAGAGCAAAATGGAGACAGGATCACATGAATATTTGATTGATCATGATAAAAGTAATATAGATGTTAAATTGACACATTTGTCATGGAAACATCCATGTTGCTTATTTGATCGATATACTTTGTTTTATTATATGATAGA